TGATAATACCTTATTGCAACATAAAGTCTTTGTAGGAAAGAACCATTAAGCAATTTTTTAATTCTACCACAGCATATTTATTTTATAAGGCTCTTATTTGGAGTCAACAAGACCATGTGGAGGCCCCTTGTATATAAAGACAGGCCCTTGTCTCCATTTTGGAGACTGTGTGAGATGGCTGGACTCTGTATTTCAATTGAATGTGATGTGGAATGTTTGGTTATTTTTCTATTTAAGCCTCTTTTTCTGAGTGGCTTCATGTTATTATATTTTGGAGAAATATTCCAAGTTGTACGGCACACTTTTGTGAATTTCTGTACTGAGGTAACCTGTGTTTGACGTGATGCTGAAACTAGTGTCATATTCAAGGGATGGGGTGACAAAAGCCATAATGGTTCTCCATGGTGGACAGTGATTTCTGAATCTCCCAGTTTAAGACCGTTTTGGAAGCAGAAGTGGCATACACTTCCTAAACTACATGTCTCTGGAAACTCTATAAACTTGCAGAAACGATGATAGTTATAGAAAGGCTTCAATAACAAGTATCAGAGAATAAGCTCAGTGAAGGATACTTATCAGGAGTCAGTATCACCACTGCCTTCAAACATATTGACTTTATAGGCAACCTGCACCACAGAGTATAACTACCCCATAGAGTTTCCAAGGCTATTGGTGCCTTTGAATTGTGGTGTTGGAAAAGAGAACTGAACTTTAAAATAATCCCATGAACTTCAAAGGGAGTTAATTGTGGATCCAAGTAAGATGAAGTTGTTGATAGTTTTAATCTTTTCTCCATGTATCATGATGTTGCCTATGGGTCCAGTGATAAGAATCTTTGTTTCTTGACATTGAGATGTAATCCATACTGAAGGCTGAAGATTGCAACCTTCATTATAAACCGACTCAACAGCACAATGGCAGTATGGATTTCTTCAGTGGTACAAATAAATGTTTATCATCTTTGGCTGCTACATGTGAATTTGGTGGTTGTCTTCAACCAGAGATGGCTTGAGTCAACAGGAACTGGGTTAGTTGTGTCAGTCCCATTTCCTGATCTACACACAGGAGAAACATACCCCTTTCTGAATTTGTATTCCAGATATCAGAAGGGAGACGGGACAGTAACAGTTCATGGACCTGCTGCACAATTCAATCCTGCAGTAACTGAAAGAGATTAGTGATTCTAGATTCGTCGTCAAGCCAGATAGACAGTTTTGCATGCTGAACTGGTTGTAAGGATTCAGAAAAGAAAAAAAAAGACAAAAAAAAAAACAAAAACAAACAAACTCAACAAAAATCTGTAATGCACACAAATAAAACACAACAGTTCAATTATTACCTAGGATTCTGTTAAGAATTTTTGCGGTAATGTTTCTGAGACATATCAGTCTATAGATGTTTATGTGGCGTGTGTGTTTCTGTGTGCGTGTGATGGAAAGATAGAGAGAAAGAGAGGGAGTGAGAGGGGTGGGAGTCATTGCCTGCTTTTGGCATCAGGATTATGCTTGCTTCCTAGAATTACTCTGGAAGTCCTTCCTTTCATTTACCAAAAAAAAAAGAAAAAAAGAAAGAAACAGACTTGGCGATAGTTCGTCTCTGAATGTTTGGCAGGTCCTGTAAAGTAGAGTATGGCTTATGCTTGGACTCTGAAAATGCATAAACAAACATTACTAGACTTAACGAAAGAAAGAAACAGCAAAGTAGTCATAAGAGATTTCAACACATCATTCCCACAAAAGGACAGGTAAACTCAAAGGAAACTCCACAATGATACCGAAGGATTACTGTACAGTCAGCCAATTTGCTCTCATAGACAAGAGATTTCAGAAATTCAAGACAGATTCCGAAAAGGTCATAAATAAATAAAATCAGCCATTGTCAGATGGATTTTGAAAGACGCTGGAGAACACCAAAATTATGTTGCCTTGCATTTTATGTAAGTATTTGACTGTGTGACTCATAATAAATTATGAAAAACATTGAGAATAAGAGGAATCTTAGAACACTTAGTTATGCTTATGTGAAACTTGTATATAGATCAAAAATATGCTGTTCAAACAGAACAAGGAAACACTGCGTGATTTATAATTGAAAAATAAACCTATAAACCGTTTGTCAAGATTGCATCCTTTCGCCCTATCTATTCAATCTGAATACTGAGCAAATCATTGGAGAACCTGGACTCTTTGAAGAAGAATGTGGCCTCAGGATTGGAGAGCAATTTATCAAGAACGAGTACTATGCAGATAAAATCTTGCTTTTAGCTAGTGAAAAGGACTCAAAGTGCTTTGTGCAAAAGATTTAAAAAAGCAACTGTGGAGAGAGAAAAGTCCAGGGAAAGGCCTTGGGCTGGAAACATTTTAGCATTCTGTTCATTTTAGTTATGAGACCCTCCTTGCAATATCTTTGCCAAATTTTGTTTCCCAGTCTATGGCAAATTTTCTCTCCCAGGTGCTGCTGTTGAACAATGCTTTAGTATTAGGGAGGTATACTCTTCCTAAGAAGAACCAAATTTAAGAGATTATGGGGAAATTATTAAATTTGTGTATATTGCACTCTAGATTGTTTTCAACAAATGGAAAACTTCTTCTTAGTAGAAATACTTTCTCTTTTTAATACTCGGTATGAAAAAAATAGATTGTTTATGTAACTACTTAAAATTTGTCCAGTTCTTAGGGCTATAAGAGGATCTTTTTTAAAAAAGATTTAATTGATATTAATATCCAGCTCAAAGTACCATTATAGTTTCAGAACAGCAATTACACTGGAAAGTTCTGAAAAAAAAAAAAAAAAGAAAGAAAGAAAGAAAATGTAAAAAACCAAAGCAGGTCAAAGAGTCATTGGCAGAGTGTGAAGACTCTTGGCCTAGAAGAATCTAGATTTGCAGGGAACAGAGTAGGGATGCCAGTTGTAAACTCTTGAGAACAAAGCAGAGGCTGAGAGTTGGGAAATAGGTGAAACTGGCCACACACTCCAGGACACACACACTCCAGATTCACAAAGAAATGGGTTCTTCAGACCCAGCAGGTCTCTGTGAAGAAAAATCCCAGCTTGTCATACACAGTCATGTTTCTTCAGGGAAATAGAAGAAGCTCTTAAAGAGGTAAAATAAAACATAAGGAAAAAGTTCCCAGGTGATCTAGAAAAGTTCTGAGCATTCCAAGTCTCAGTTAAAGATGCTAAGAAACTTTTGACTCAATGAAAAAAGCGGAGAAATGTTTCTTGGACCCCCTGGATGGCTAGGAAAGAACTGTTAGGTTTTTCCTTTGATGTTTCCAAATCATTCCCTGTCCCCAGGTGTTTCAGAGTCTCCTGACACCACATCAAGGCAGAACTGGGATAGTGTTAGAGCTTTCTCATGTTGACTTACTCTATTTTTGTGTAAACTTTTCTCTTTTTCCCCTTCCTTTTTTTTTTAAAAAAATATGATTTTAATGAAAGTTTACAGAAAAGTTTTTCTCATTCACCTACTTTGCCCAGTTCATTAAAAAAAAAATCTTCATTAATTGTTGCCTAATTTCCTCCCTCCTTCCTATAAACCTTTTTCAATATAAAGTTTAAAGAAATGACAAAGAATCTGAGCATTACCTCCAGTGTGAAAACCCAATTTCTCTTCTCATGAAAGAGAAAAAGAAAAGAAACTCTAAGCCTCTTTTTAAAAACTTAATTATTTTTGCAGAAACTGTGGGCCAAGTCCTACCCTGTTTGTGGTGGAAGGTCACAGTGAACATGGAAGAGCACACACTGACAGGGCTTCAAGGAGAGAATCAGGCTCAGTTACAGGACAACGTGTGTTTCTATGAGAGTCGTCTCAAAAGGGTCCCTTGCTGAGCAGACTAGAGCACCTTAGTGAAGCTGGTCCATTGTCCTCACCCTTGGGCTGTTCACATGCAGGGAAACCATTCCATCACAGACCCTGCTTATCCTGGGAGAATACCAAACCAAGGACAGGAGAGCTGCAATATAGCTGGGTCAGGACTTAATATATTTATGATCTGCTTGTCTCAATGCTCTTTGCCTGCCCTTTTTTATGTTGAAGGAAGGTGGTGGTCAAACTGTCAAAGAGCACTTGCCTTATCATATACCTGAAAGGCGGTGGTGGTGGTTGCCCTATACCCTTGAGTCTTAGAGGCAGTAATCACAGGGGAGGAGATTATTAATCCTCCTGCAGAGCAGTGGTTGATTTGGAACTGCATACTTTTGGCTGGAGCACAGATGCTTAACACTAGGGCGCTAGAGCTTGCTCCCTCATCCTAAGATGTTGGAAGTTGAATTAACATGTGGAAATGGAAGGATGGAATCCCAGACAATGTGCGCCGTCTTGTCATAGATGACTCATAGCGACCCTTTGAATTAAAGGCCTGAGTGAGAACTGTCCATAGAGTTTCCGAAGGCAAGCCATTTCAAAAGTCAATGCCAGTCCTGCTTCCAAGCTTGTTTTACTGGGGAAGCTCCACGAAACCCTGTCCACCCTGGGTAATCACTATCACCTTTTGCACATGCTGTCATAGTGTTTAGCATCACAGCAACCATGAGTTACCTCTGTTCAGCAATGCACAGACCAGTGCTATACCACTTAGAATGTTTGACAAAAATAACATTCGAACCAGGCCTAGGCCTGAGGGCTGTTGATTAAATCACCCACCTGGGGCCTATCTTCCTGTCCACTGGCCAATGTAGCTCTCTCTATGTTGTTGTTGTTTTTGTTAGGGTCCGTAGAGTTGTAGACGATTCATAGCGACCCTATGAACGAAAGGCCTGAGCACAGTTCACAGAGTTTCCGTTTCTTAGTAGGGCACAAGGTAATTCACCGCACTTGTCCTTCCCAGAAGTCTCTGTGGAGTTGTCATGTTTCCAGTCAGCCCAGACATGTGAGTCTTATCTCTTATCTGATCTCTAAGGAGGAGGAGAAGAAGGAGGGGCTGAGTGGAGGGGGGAGAGCCCTTCTGACCCAGAAGTTGGGTATAAAAGTGCTCGTTCATGTGAGAGCAGAATGAACCATGTCTGTCCTTGGGATGCTGCTCTCGCTTCTGCTGCTGATCTCGTCTCTGCAGCAGCCAACATCATCACACTCCGTGTTGCACGATATTGCAACACATGATGAAAAAGACAAAGTCCTTCTGGCAGATGTGATCCTATCCTCCCTGAATGCAACCGCCACCTGCCTGGAGAAGGAGAATCTCTTTAGTGATGTCATGACGACTCTCCGAATTCTGCAAGGTGAGTGGGGTCACACTCATGCTCTACTCTGATCGACTGTGAACCCCAGGAGTCCAGCTACCATCAGGTAGATGAGTAGTCTGCTCAGGCCATGGAAAGGAGCAAATGGGTGACTCGTTTCTCCTGAGTGTCTTGGACATGGGAGGGATGCTTACAGACTATGTTTTAGACTTAGGACTTCAATTCAACAATATGTTGCTATTTTCATAGTTATAGATCCTTTGTGCTTTTTCTGCCACCATGATACTGACAAAGCAGGGAGCCGAGTGTGACATTTCGTGGGCATTTATAGGGTGACCAATCTCATGGCAGGATGCAGTCCAGAGACTAGTGACCTTCAAGACTGATTTCCAACCGGAGCTTCCTCTGCTTCCAGTGAAATTTTCATGGTGGTGCTGAGAGAACAGAATAGTGCTTGTTGTGCTTTGGAAGACACAAGATGACGTGGTGTCCCTGCCATCAGCTGGGATCTGGGCAGTGGATTTCCCAAACCACCCATCACCTCTGATGGTGGCAGAGTTTTCTCACACTTGGAAACTCAGGGTTCCACAGGAGGTTGGGTTACAGGACAAATCAGCTTCGCTCCCTGGAGCCACACCTTGACTTCACAACTATGTGGTCTCCTCACATTTCTCACTGTAACCCTCGTAAACCAGGCTTACTTCCAGAGAGCCCCCAGGCTTACCTCTGCACCCCCATCTACCAGCACGGACTAGGGTGAAGCAGGAAAGAAGCACCAAACTGTGAGCTGATTTAACTTTGACTGTTGGCTATTTCAAGTTTTGCTGTGTGACTCCCAGGTGTTCATGCTGTTACCGAGCCTCTCTCTTTCCTTATAGCTGGAGATTCATTTGCTTGTTTAATTTCTTTTCTCTTTCAAAGGAGATTGACTGAAGAAGCATCCTGTAAAAATGCTCATTTATATGGCATAGGGAATTTATTTCCAAATGGACTTGTAATCAAAGTAAAGTTTAGGATTTAAAACAATATATTTTGAGGGAGGGTATTACAACCACTAATGGTCACAGAGAGAGGAACTGTGAGATCGGACGTACATGTACATTTTAGAGGGAGATGCAATTGAAGCAAATGCTGTAAGTGTTACAACTATATATTTCTCCTGCACACATGGAAGAATGAACTCATTGTGTTTCCTCCTAGCGTATGTCAAAGGTGTTATGGAGCTATGGGCCATGAACCCAGCAATGGAGCCAATAAGTAAAAAGATGAAGATGTTCTCCATAAAGCTGGAGGAGCTTGTCAACAAATCCATTTCTTACTCGTCCGTGGCTTTATCTGGCAACCTAGGCAGTAAGTACCCACATAGTAATGCAGTGTGTTACAGCCTCCTCTGAGGCATGGGATGGTCAGAACCACCTACCATCCTAGACAAGCCTAACTGCAGATTAAGTGTTGTTTCACTCAAACTTGACTCTAGGTTAGAAGGTCCCTCCCTCCCATGTATTTGTTGTTAGGAATCAGGAAGTCAAGACTCCTAGTGACCCGATGAACACCAGATCTGAACCTTGACTTGTCTTGTGCCTCTGAGGACATGTTTGCACTTCCTCTAAGAGCAGTTGGCTTGTTGTGTGGGCAGTCCATGGTAATCACAGTGTCCTTGACCGCACATTGCCAAGTCCACCATGTCTTTTGGTTTCTAGAGTGATATTTGCATGTTGGTTGTGGAGTGAAGGAAAATGAGTTAGTTGACAACGTCAGTCTTTTTCTCTATTGATCACACTGTGTCATTAACCTTCACAATAGTGAAGGAGTGGATGTCAGCTTACTCCAAGCTATTAGCTCCCTTGTTGTGGTCTTCACCATAGAATAGTTGTTTATACCAGAGTGTGGAAGATCTAGATGATAATTGAACCGCTTCTACTTCAGTGACTAACATCTTGCTAGAATGTTCTTTGATCCCTAAACTACTCAAGTGTCTGTTCTTGTTAGCGTGGGGTTACTGTATAAGGGTCAATCTATAACACTGATACTAGGATGTATTAAGGGCTGACATGGTCCAAATGCATTAACCTCAGCTCAGGTGACTCCATGGGTAGCGGAGGAGAACTGTCGTTGACAGCATTGTCAATGGTTGATATGTTAGAAGATTGCAAAGCCTGTATTCTGTGGCAACTTGGGAATTGGAATCTCAAAGTTTTTATTAGAATCCACTTATATTAACCTTAGCAACACCCACAGATTCTGAAATCTAAGAAGTCAAGTTTTTGTTGTTGTTATGTGCCATTGAGTCGCTTGCGACTCATAGCAACTCTATATACAACAGCCCTAAACTCTGCTCTGTCCTGTGCCAATTGCACTGTCTCAGACACTCCCATCCCGATTATCCCAGTCACTGAATCAATCCACCTCATAGAGGCCCTGTCCCTCCAGCCTCCCAAACATGATGTCCTTCTCCAAGGACCGGTCTCTCCTCAAAACATGTCCAAAGTATGTTAGACGGAGCCTCAGAATCCTTGCCTCCAAGGAGCCACCCGGTTTAACCCTTCCCAGGATGAATCTGTTTGTTTTCCTAGCAGTCCATGGTATTTGTAAATTTTCTCAAGGTTCCATGTGTTGCTATCCATTTTATCTAAGCCAAGAGACCTGGTGGTGCTATATTTTATTGCTCAAATGCCAACTCTAAGTTGGAGAACTCAAATCAGGGTTAAAAGGGCAGGTTATCTGTTACAGTAAAGATGATCTTTGGAAGATGATTCAGGACCATTTTTCTTAGCCCTACAGGCTTTTATTGAGTTGACATTGATTTGGTAACACACAAAACATGAAAAGTCAAAAGCCAGCTTACGCTCTATTCATGATTCTTTTTAAATAGTTTTTTTTTAATGTGTTTGTAAAATGACTTGTGCCAAAGGAATCCCCAAAGGAATGACTTGAAGTTACGCAGGCTTGTGGAAGGGTTCATGGTCAGCTTGATGTGGGGCATTAATTTAATTACATCTCAATCTCAGAACCTAGAGCGAAGGTGAATTAGTTGGTGCACACTTACGTTGAAAACAATTGAGAGCTGCAGCTTAACCCCATGCAGCTTTCTTCCTGAGGCCTGTATCTATTATTAAAGAAGCCCTTTGACTGGATGTATATTTTACTCCTCAGTCACTGTATAGTTATCCCAAGGTCTTTCCTGTCCAGCACACGATGAATTTTCTCTTTCAGTTTTTGAAGTGTTAACCCGGGCAGATTTCTGGAAGATTCTTCAACCTTCGCCTCTTATTAAAGACACAGTGATCCCCATAGAATTAACACCCCTAGAACCGATGAAGGAAGATTCCAGCGAGTCATGCTTGGCAACTCTACTGAATAACAGGTGGGTTCAACTGACTAACCCTATTCCCTACAGATTCGAAAGCACTCTTCTTGGTTTCGGATGGTCCCCAAATCTGAATCCAAATGCCCATGTAAAACTCCGTCCAGTTGCCCAGGAATCAGACACTTCTACCTCCTACCTGTGTTCTGGCCCTTTTCAGCTCATTCATGACTCAACACAATGCCCACCTCTTCAGTCCACACCACTGTATTCTTTATGGCCCAACCTCACCACTCATGCACACCTTCCAATGCCCTGAGTGATCTCCATTCCATCCTCACCCACTTTAACTAGAGCACTCTTCCCAAAGCAACACCTTTAGTGAAATATACGTGCTCCAAACCCAGAAGCTTCTCAGGACAAGAGAAATGAGACAGTCAGCTCCCATAAATGACTTCACAAGTTTTAAGACTTTGTAGAATTTCTCTCCTATAGAATTGTTTCATCAGAATCAACTTGATGGGAGGGACCTGAGGAGGGTAGTTACTAGCATATCATCATACACAGAGGAGTTGTAGACATGGATGGGCAGCTCCATGACTTCCATTTCCTTTCTAATGACACGCAGCATTTTTTTCCCTAATAGAGGTAACAGCGAGTCTTGTACGTACTCAGACGTTTGCAGGCAATTGATGACCACGCCTGCCAACTTACATGACCTGAAAATTCAGCAGCTGCTGTTCTTCCTTTCCTCCAAAATGGTAAGTGTGAGATGGCCAAGGTGTATGGGAGAACAAACAGGTACAAGGCACTATGTTGTAAGCATCCTCAATGATGCAGTTAAGGAAGTGACCAAAAGTCTCGCGAGAATCTGCTTACTTCTGAGAAGCCAAGGCTCGTCTCATGTCCTATGGTGATGGGATCAAGATGAGTTAGCTCCTGGAAATGGATGCTGTGCTTAGTGAAATAGAAGAACAGAAAGAAAATATGAGTACTTTGAATGAGATCGATTGACAGTAGCTAAGGATTGAAGTTTCAATAATTTCATCATTTTTTCAGTGTAAGCATAATGCTTCTTTAACAGCTCATCAGGGCTGATGACAGGGGACGATAGAACTTTGTAAAGATGCTTCTCAAGTCCTGTCCTCCTGGCATCACTGGAGATGTGCTGTCCCTGACTCAGAATACTGAGCTGGCCAAGATCAAGTGTGTAGGGCACGGTGGGGTCAGCAGCTGAACTCTCTTCTCTCTCACTCAGAGAAGTTCGAGAATGACAAAGTCCAACAAGGTGGGAGTGGAGATACAGATAAATCCTGTAGGGTGAAGGCTTGCCTTGGTTCAGCCCCATGGCCCACTGCCTGAGAATGCAGGTCCTTCCCAGGAGCGGTGGTAGCCTTTGTCTGCCGTTGGTGCTGACTGCCTTGTCTCTGGGTGTTTGTCCTCCAGATTGGATGCACAAATGGGATGTTCGAACACACCCAAGACTACCTGAACCGAGTCTGTTCCAACCTGATGGACATGAATGCGCAAATTGAAAGCTTTAAGTACCACAGTTCCTTCCGCAGTGATTTTCTGGAAAGCAGTAAGTCCCTCACTTCTCACTCAAAGTAGCAGAGTCTCCATGTTTGAGAAATGAGTGTCTACACATGCTGGCATGTCATGACATCACATGTGTACAAGCATTCAAGACACATGCATGTACACGTGAATGTGTAGAACCACAGATAGGCATATATGTGTGCATGCATGCGGACACAGTCAGAAATATGCTCTGCACACATGCAGTGTAATGTGTGTACAAATGTGTGTGTGTGTGTGTGTGTGTGCAATTTTCCTTTTTAGCAAGTGAAAAGACCAGATTTCCAGTTGGATTTAAATTCCAAATAAAGAGAAACACTTATTTGAGAAAAATATTTTTCAGTATCACATGTGATTGAGTTATCCAGTGGAAACTAGCTTTGGTTTGCAGGCCGAACAGTTTGCCAACTTCCACAGGGTTAAATTTTACTGCCTTTCTACCAATTGATGTAATGTAAAACATTTTTTTTTCCATTTTGTGAAAGGCCTTATATCACAAATTTGCATTTCATAGGTTTTACTGTAGTAAAAATGGACTCTTGAAATTCCAAGATAACTGAATGTGTTCCATATTTTATCAGCCATCACTAAGAGGATTGTTTCCTGCCTCCCAAAACTGTCCCAGTTATTGAACACTGGACAGACTAACAGAACAGAGGCAGACTGAAAAACCTGAGATGTGATTGGACGGGAAGTCTTAGGTTTTCCAAATTGGTAAAATGGCCAAATCAGGGAAATGATATTTTCAAATGTTGTTTCTGTTTAAATATTGTTTTTAAAATACAGGCTTTTAAGACTATACTTCCAAAGGCCATTTCTTTTTTCTTTTCTCTTTTCTTTTTGTTTTGTTTTTTTTTACATTTTTTTTTCAAAGACCATTTCTATAGCTCATTAAAATATTTGATATTGTAAGAAGTATTCGATATTAGTATGTCCCATGAACCATTTTTATTTTTTTAAAATTGATATGGTACAAAATTCATACACATTGTGTTTTACACAGTCCTTCCTTTTCATAGTGCTTCGTACAATCATTTGCAATCATTGTGTTTTGTGAAAACATTCACCATGGAACAATGCCCCCCAATACATTGTCTTTTCAGATTCCTGCCGTATCTTTCCCATTTTCTTCTCCCTCTCCCTCCATCTAACAAATAGTACTGCCCCATGGTTTTTAGATGACTTTACTGTCACCAGTCCTTGAACATCCTTAACCTAGGCCATAAAGAAGAGGCAGAGCCCAAATGCAAGAGCCTCTGTGGTGAGGGTGGAGCCATGGGTGATTCTTTCAGCTAGTTTTTCATGTGTCATCTTCTGAGCTGACAGGACCCTAGTGGAAGAGGCAGGTGATGGACTTTGGTGGAGGAGATCTACCTAGGGTGCAGGCCAAGCAGAAGGATCCTTTCTCTCTCACTCTCTCTCTTTTTTTTTCAGTCATGTTCTGTGGAGCTGCTGGATTCCATGAATTTTACAAACCCCACTGGCTTGTGAATATCCTCCACTGGCAGAATGCAACAGATGGATGCTTCAGCACGTCTTGTAAGTGATGACTGAGGGAAGAATGGCACATGGGGATGGACTGTACATTCTAGACAAAGTGAGGCAGGGATCTTGTGTGATAGGTGCAGGGGAGACTGTGAAGTATGCATGTACACCTGCACAAACGAAGGTGGGAGGAACAGGGGCTTTGCACAGCACAGAGGGGCACAGTGGAGTGCTGTGTTGTTGAACACTCTGGTCTGCTCTCGTATTAAAACCCTACACTCACAAGGACCAATCAATGCCAGGTCTCTCACCATCCTCACACCCTCTCACTGCTTAAGTCCATTGTTGCTCTCACTGTGACAACACAGCTCATTGAAATTGTCCACTTTTCTAATCATGATTTCCTGTTGTGAACATTGGTCCCTCCTGATAACATGCCCAAAATATCCCAGACAGAGCTCCACCTTCCTTTCTTCTAAGGGGCACTAAGAAGGCACTTCTTCCTAGAAAGATTTGTTCCTTCTTTTGTCTGTCCATGGGGATATTCAGTATTCTTGGACAACACACTGTTCAAAGGCATCAAGTCTTTCTCAGTCTTTCTGATTCACTGTACAGCTTCTACACATATTGGAGCTTCCACATATACTGATTATGGGTTCAGAGAAACCAAATTTGTTACAATGCCAAACTTTTCTTTACATTCACCTATAATAAATAGTGAAGGGTAGAGGATTTACATCAGTGAAACTCCCAGAACTTTTGTGTGACTTACCTTATTGGGTTATTGTGATGGTCATGGCCTGGATTGAGTCTTCAGTATGTTGGAAGTATGCCTGTCCCAGTGGCCAACCTCCAACAATCATAGCAACACATAAGCGATCACAGTACATCACCCTGACGGGGGTGTTGGGGGATGGTGGTGGTGGTAGAAATAATTTGGGGATGGGGCATAGGATCCCCAGTGAAGATTATGCCATGAAGATTCTTCCCCTAAGGAAAGAGTCAGTAGAAATCAACATTGTGAGCAGCTGAAGGACCCTGGAATGGGGGCCTGTGTGAGGCACCAACAGAAGTCCTATTGCAGTCCCTGCACGCTGGATGCAATAGTGGTCAAAACGCACAAGAGAATGGCGTGCAACGAAGGTCTACGATTGCTGCCCAAGCATTCATGAAATTCTGTCATTCTCTCCCCAGCTCATTCCTTCAATTTTGGAACTTCTCAAGCGAGCACAATCCTAGGTGGCTTCCTATATGCCCTGGAAAAATACCCGCACATCTATGGAAATATACCCATTCTATTGACACAATTGCCAAATGTAAAATTCCCTTGAGACAGATGGATCCATCATGCCAAGGGAAATGAGATAGAGCCTTTCAATCATTTTCCCTACAATCATGGGTATTCTTAGAGCCCATTGCTATAAATAAACAATCTAAATACACTATTTTATGCTGTTGGTGTTAATGGGGAATGTGGGAGTCTGTCAGTCAAGATGCGTGAGTCTCCTTTCTGCTCTTGGCTGCACCTCCTCTGGGGGCCCACATCTTCACTGGGTTCCCAACTGACACTCTGGGAAAGAGTCTATCCTGGAACCAATGAACTGCATGCCGGGAGACCAGAAAGACCTCCAAACCATAATGTTGTTGTTTTTGTTGTTGTTAACTACTCCTGTGGAATACTGTCTGTGTTTGAACAACAGACCTTTTGATAATCATTCCAATGTTTCAATCACAAGTAATAAATACCGAGTAAAATGACTGCAGTAGAATCAGTTCCCATTTATGGTTACCCTGTAGGATAGACTGGATATGTACATTGGCTGTAAGTTTGTACTAGATTGTAAATCTTTAAAAGAGCAGACTGCCCCATCTTATCCAACAGAGTAGTAGCTGATGGTTCAGACCAACCCTTGAGCATCAGCCCAGTATCAGCTTTTGAGCGTCAGTAACATATTGCACATGATTCAGACCAACTTTTGAGCATCAGTAACACATTGAACAGCCAGGGCTCCTATAGAGGCCATGCTCTTGTTGTTGGCTACCATCAAATCAACTCCAGTTCACAGGGACTCTATGACAAAAGATCAATCAGTGCCCGGTTCTACACTATCCTTAAAATCCCTACTATATTTATCCCATGCCTGCAGTGATAGAAGGGATGAAAGAAAAGAAGCAGAAATAATGAAATGAACAGGAAATTGAGGACTTATTGCTGTGTCACTGGTAACCATCCAATAGGTCATTCAAACCAGGAGGAGGGGACCAACGGCTGTCCTCACCTGAGGTCACTGTAAAGAGAGTGATGTCCGAGGGAGACTCTAGAGCAACAACTCTCCTCCCTCCTTGTACTTTGGGTGATGCTTCTCCTCCTGGGGAGTTAGCACCAATTTTCATGGTGAAATGATGTGAAAATATCAAGGATAAATGAGAACATTTTGTTCAACATACCTTTTCTCAGCATCGTGGAAATTGAGTCGGGGGAAAAAAAGGAGAAAGCCTAAGAGGTTGGTCCCTAGCCAGTTGTCTGTCTCCAGGTTCTCTGTGGACATGTGTGTCTAGTTCCCCCTTGTGCCCACTGGGGAAAAATGGGGTAAAGACTGTCCTTCAGACCCTGTTAAGAAACCAAGTTTGTACCAGAAACTATTAACATTAGTGCAACTAAAGTTCTTATACATCTCCCTACTGCTGAATTTGGCTAGGAAAAATAGAAGACACATTTAATAAATGGTAAAAGAATAATTTTTAAAAATTCATACAGATTAGCTTTATTTATCACACTCTGTAGATATTACATTGTTTATAAATTGAAGGTCTATGGAAAGCTTCCTTTGGACAAATCTCAGCACCATTATCTACATGTCACATTTCAGTGATTCTCATAATATTCCAAACCTTTTCATAAGTTATTGTAGATGCAATAAGGTTACATTATAGTTTAAATATAAATTCTATATCCACTTAATAATGAAAAATTCATGCAACTTTTTTTATGTCAGTGATCTGGAATTGACCCTCAGAATCTAAGAGATTTGCCTTAATTTACATATAAAGCAGGTAGAAGTCATGATCTCCCTTCAAAAAAAATGTTAGTAAATGTGCGGACAGAAGGAGAACTGACACCTTTGAGCTGTGGTGCTGGAGAAGAGTATTGAATGTACCATGGACTGCCATGAAAACAAACAGATTCATCCTAGAGAGGGTTAAACCAGGCTCCTACTTGGAGGCAAAGATTCTGGAGCTTCGTCTGACATATTTTGGACATGATGCAAGGAGAGACAGGTCTTTGGAGAGGGACATCATGCTGGGTAGAGTGGAGGGACAGCGCAGGAGGGGAAGACCCTCTATGAGGTGGATTGATTCAGTGACTGGGGTAATCAGGATGGGTGTGTCAGAGGCAATGTGATCGGCACAGGATAGAGCAGGGTTTAGGGGTGTTGTACATAGGGTCGCTATGAGTCGCAAATGACTCGATGGCACCATAACAACAGCAACAAATGTGCAGAAATTTATGACAGAAAAGCACTTTCCTATTTTGCTCGGAAGTTTTCTCTTATTTTATTCTCATGCTAAAACAATCCTATCTTCTCTTATTATTTACTTAGTTGTTTTTTTTTAATTGGCTTATTTGCAAAGTTTGTTATACATTGAGTTTCACACTTAGTCCTGCCCTCTGTGTTTCGTATAATCATTCTCATGCATCATTTTTCATAAACTCAATCACATTGAACCTTGCCCATCATTAACCTGTCTTTTTACCCAGATTCTTACTCTTTTCTTGCCCCCCCCACCTACCAAACTGTGTAGCCCTGTGGTTTTACCCCTACCTATCCTCAACCATGTGTTCCCAACCCTCCCTTGAAATGTCAGTACCTGCATCATTGGTCTGTAGTGGTCCTAGGCAAAGTAGCATTTGTAAAGTCTAACTGTAGCATTCAGTGCACATGAAGCACTCAATATCTGTCAACTTTTACTTTGATTATTTCCAGTGTCACATCTAAAGAAGCCAGAAGCCCTCCTGAGGATACATACTGTGATATTTTATTGGGAAAAGAGGACTCAGAATATTGTCTTGTACAGGAAAAAGTGAATGTCAAGCTATTGATTCCCTCTTGCTTAGATAAGCAGTTCACTTCTTTCCCTTTTTGAAATCTTTTGTACATCCAATAGCCCAGAAGACCATCAGTCTAACTGGCATTTCCAATCTCGAGTTAGAACACGTAGGACACCTAAAACTCAAGCACATGGGAACGAGACAGTTGGAGATCAATTGGGGAAGCACATCCTGTTCTTGAGGTTAAAACCAAGCTTTCCTGGTTTTCTATTCAGGTCATCATGCAGGCCTGCCTGTGTGTGTCTCCTCATGTCCAGTCAATTAACTACCTTTAGCCTGGAGTACCTTAGACTTGCCTAGCTACAGTACCTGCCAAACAGAAGAGGCTACTTTCACAGGCCTTTTCTCTCCTGAACTAAAGAAAATCTACCCTTGAGTCAGAAGTTCTGAGAAAAACCCAGGCAGGGTAGCTACCCCACCCTCTTCTTGGAGCAGTGACTTCAGATTGAAAAACTGTTATTGCTTCAGGCATGAAAAACCTCTACCATAGCACTGTCACGTAAGAGGCAGGCTACAGCACACACTAAATAATCCTAAAGCAAGATGTCACCCCCCCCCCCAAAGTGACACAGTATCAATGGATTTTCTCAAGCCAAAAAGTCTAATGGACTTTCTGACACAAAACTTAAAAGAACAATGGTTAAATATTTTCCGTGAATGAAAGACAAACTTGAAAAATTATAAGACACTGCAAGCAAAAAAATAGGAGGACCTTAAAAAAACAACCTAAAACAATGCAGATAAAAATGGAGGCATTAGAGGCTCTGGAAAAACAAAAAAACCCCACAATCGAAAATATGAACACCAATGTTTCAGACTCTGTAAAAAAGATGGAGGGACACAAAACCAGAGTTGAAGAGATGGAACACAGAACCAGTGAAACAGAAGATAGAATTTTCACCACTGACCTGCTAGAACAAAAAGGTAGAATCAAAAAGGATGGGAAAAGAA